GGTTGGCTAAAGCCTTGAGCAACCTGCTCTGGTGGGAGGTGTCCCTGCCCAGGGCAGGGGGTTGGGGCTGGATCATCTCTAAGCTCCATTCCAACCCCTTAACATACTATGAAACTATGATCCTATGAACAGATGGGAAGTACTGACACCTGTGGCCATGAGAGTGACCCAAAGATTCATTACTGCATTCACCAAGCTGAGAGTGTCCCTACCATTGATGACCAGGACCAGACACATGGGAGAGGAAAGCAGTGAGCTCTGTGGGCACACAGCAGTGTGCTGGGACAGGCTGGAGGACACATGTAGCTGAAGCTTGGAAGCAAAAAAAAAAAAAAACTGGGATAAAATGCAGCAAAGGGTATTGAGTAAATTGTTTCAGCCTGACCTGGGATCTCTGTTTGATGAGATAAAAACAGTTTTTTTCTGCCTCAATCTAGATCTAGAGCAAAGCATTTGAATTTCATGAGAGGAAATTGTTAAACTAGAGGAAACTGCTATTAAAAAGATGTAACTGATTGGGAGACAAGTGCAGGCTGAGCTGAAGGCAGGGCTGACAGCTTGGGGCAAGGTCACCAGGGGGATTCTTGGCACTTCCTTAGTATTAACACTAATGTTATTGACACAGAAACACCAAAGCAGAGCTTAAAAAAGCTTCATGACCAGCACAGCCAGGATCTTTGTCCACACAGAAGAAGGATCTGCAAGGGGGAGAAGAATGAACTGTGTTCAGTTCTGGGCCTCTCATGGTAAGAGAGACTGAGATGCTGGAGAGTGTCCAGGGATGGGAATGGAGCTGGGGAAGGGGCTGGAGCACCAGGAGTGGCTGAGAGAGCTGTGGGGGCTCAGCCTGGAGAAAAGGAGGCTCAGGAGGAACCTTCTCACTGTCTACAGCTCCCTGCCAGGAAGTGCAGCCAGGTGGGGTCAGGCTCTGCTCCCAGGGAACAAGGGATAGGACAAGAGGGAATGGGCTCAAGTTGTTCCAGGGGAGGTTTAGATTGGAGATAATGGAAAATTCCTTCATGGAAAGAGCGGTCAGGCCCTGGAACA